AACTGAGCCACCCGGACGCCCCCTTCTCTTACATTCTTATGAGGCACCACTGTGGAACAAGACGGGAGAAAAGTGGTAGCGTATGTATGGATGGGACAAACAGTTAGGCAGAGCCACATATATGACAGGCTGGAGTGCTGCTTGTCAGGAGGGATAGTATTCTCTTACCAGCTAGCTGGTCACTTAGCCCTAGAACCGGAGGCAGAGGCAAGCTTTCTCAGCTGTCCAGGACCTCCTATTACTTTCAAACTGGGGACTGGATTTTCTGCTTTTACTGGACACTCAAGAACTATTTTTGAAATGGTTCATTTTCTCATACAGTCCTTAAGATCACACACACAAATGATTGGTTTAACTATTAGAAATTTGCTTTTTACTATTGGAATGCTAGGATCTTTTGATATTTGAGAGCTAGCAGTTTGCTGTGTCTTGTTTGAGATTAGAAAGCCTCCTCCCCCAAGGCTGGAGTGTTTCTGTGAAGCTACCCTTCACGTCACTCTTTTATTCTACCCTCCTCCACCCTGTCCACAGAGCTCAGAGTTGGGTTTTGGGAGAAAAACAAACTTCATAGGTGATTTAAATAAAGCCACCGAGGTATACATGGCTCAGAGCTCTTCACCTGCTCTACTTTGATTGGAATATGATGGTTGCCTACTAGAGAATACATTATGCTGGCCTACATTTCAGCACTACATATTTAGTAGTAAACTAGTAGACTGAAATTAAGCCAGTGGCTTCATCTGCTTTGGACCTGTGTCTGGTTCTCCATATATGAAAACTAAACACATAACAAGATTATGAAGAAGAGAAAACAGTAGCCTCTTTATACATACTGTGGTACATGTGATCCTATTAATTAATGCTTATTTGTATTATATAGGTATATATAATAGATATATTTTATAAACAAATTATACATGTTTTAAATAACTAATAATATGTTAAGAGCATGGGTTCTGGTTCTTGCCTTTGCCACTTATTAGCTTAGTGATGTTGGGCAAATTGGCTGAGTCCTGTGCTGCATTTTACTTACTATAAAATAGAACTGCTCTTAATACCAGCCTCATGGGTGCTGTAAGGATCAGAAGAGTTAATACATATAACATGCTTAAAACAGGTCACATAGTAAGTGCACAGTGTTAGGTTAAACCATGTGAAATTGCCAATATTTGTTGTTTTTTGACTTACCCCAAAATGGCAATTTTATATACTTAAATGCAATAGCAATATGTTCTAATTTTTAAAACATACTTGTTGAACAATCAGAATCACATATTATGGATGCAGTTTACTGTCTAAAATCCATTGAATCAATATTGATGAGGGTAGGGCCTGGGAAACTAAATGGAAACCAACAATAATCTCTCCGAGTGACTAAGATGAGCTGGCAAGTTTAGGAATTCTTGATTTACAGTATTGCTCAGGAGATTTTTTTTTTTATACTGTGAAGAGAATAACATTGATAGTGAAGAGAATGAATCTGCAGAGGAATTTTGCCTCGGAATAAATCAGAACTCATGTCTCACTTCTGTCTGATTTAGGTGATATTTAGATTGGATGTTAGACTGTAGAGTTGATGCTGGAATGAATTAAGACTTTTGGGACTGGTGTATTTTAGGATGAATGTATTTTGTGTAAGAGAAGGGCATAGACTTTCATGGGGCAGGGAGCAGAATGTGTCCCTCCCAGAATTCCTAAGCCCTAACCCCCAGTGGGATTGTATTTGGGAGATCATCAGGTTTTGCTGCAGCCATGAAGGTGGGCCCCCAGTGATGGTGTTAGTGCCCTTGTAAGCAGAGACATTTAGCTTGCTCTCTTGAGCAAGCAAACTCTCTTGAGCTCTCTTGAGATTGTCTCAAGTGCAAGTGATTTTTTTCTTCAGCTGTATCTGATCTACTCAGGAGTCCATCAGAGACATTCTTCATTTTGTTACAATGTTTTTCTTTATAGGGGCGCCTGGGTGGTGCAGTTGGTTGGGCGTCCGACTTCAGCCAGGTCACGATCTCACGGTCCGTGAGTTCGAGCCCCGCGTCAGGCTCTGGGCTGATGGCTCGGAGCCTGGAGCCTGTTTCCGATTTTGTGTCTCCCTCTCTCTCTGCCCTTCCCCCGTTCATGCTCTGTCTCTCTGTCCCAAAAATAAATAAACGTTGAAAAAAAAATTAAAAAAAAACAATGTTTTTCTTTATATTTTAAAAAATGTTTATTTATTTTTGAGAGGGAGAGACAGAGCACAGTATACTCTCCTGCACTTGAACTGGGAAGGGGCACAGAGAGAGGGAGACAAAAGATCCCAAATGGGTCCTGCACTGACAGCACAGAGGTCGATGCAGGGCTTGAACTCACGAACCATGAGATCATGACCTAAGCTGAAGTCAAATGCTTAACTGACTGAGCCACCCAGGTACCCCTGTTACAATTTTTTTTTTTTTTTAATCTCTAGCATTTCTTTTTGTTTTAAAAAAAAAATTTTTTTTTAACATTTATTTATTTTTGAGACAGAGAGAGACAGAGCATGAACAGGGGAGGGGCAGAGAGAGAGGGAGACACAGAATCTGAAACAGGCTCCAGGCTCTGAGCTGTCAGCACAGAGCCGGACGTGGGGCTCGAACTCACGGACTGTGAGATCATGACCTGAGCCGAAGTCGGCCGCTTAACCGACTGAGCCACCCAGGCGCCCCTGTAGCATTTCTTTTTGATTCTTTCTTAGAATTTCTATTTCTCTGCTTATATAACCCATCTGTTCTTCCATGTTGTCAGCTTTGTTCAGTTGTTTGGAATTCCTGGTCTGTTAATTCCAGCTTTCGTGCCATATTTGGCTATCATTCTCATGCTTGCAGTTTCTTCAAACTATGTCTTTTACTTTTTAGTATGCCTTGTAGTTTTTTCCTAATAGCCTATCATGATGTACTAGGTAAATGGAACTGTATTAAATAGACCTTTAGTAATGTGGCAGTGAGATGTTGGGGCAGTGCAGTGTTCTGCAGTTCTACGATCATGTCTTCTTTTAAAAGTGAGACTGTGCCCTGGACTGTGAATATCACAAGTGCTTCTCAGTTTGCTCTTCCCCTTGGGTGGGACAGTATAACTAGAGGTAGCTGAAGTCGCTTGTTTCCTTTCCTTGAGGTCAACTGGGCTCTGATAATATCCCAGAAGACTTGGATCTGGTAAAGCACTTTCTTTTGAGGTCAGGCCTTGTTAAGAAGAACAGAGTGCTCTGATGTATTGCAAATGTTTACTTTCTCCCCACTGCCTGCAGAAGGGCAAGGGGATTTTTCTGATTGTCCCTTTGAATACCGGGTAGAACCCTTGGAGCTGAAATTCATTTAGGTGTGAGGCCCATCCTATGTCTTGGTCCCCCTGGAGTTTTTAAATTAAAAAAAAATTTTTTTTTAATGTTTATTTATTTTTGAGAGAACACAAGCAGGGGAGGGGCAGAGAGAGAGAGAGGGGGAGGCACAGAATCGGAAACAGGTTCCAGGCTCTGAGCTGTCAGCATAGAGCCCTACATGGGGCTCAAACCAAGAACCGTGAGATTGTGACCTGAGCCTAAGTCAGACGCCCAATGAACTGAGCCACCCAGGTGCCCCCCCCCCCCCCCGGAGTTTTAACACTCAGACTCTTCCCTCCTGAGTTTCTAGTGACTTGCCAGTTATATAGTTTGGGTTTTCCTATCCCTGCACTGGTTCTAGCAGAGTGTCTTTCTGTGGTTCTTGTGGAGATTTCTGCTCTGGTGAGTTGTGGTTCTTGGTGTCCAGCCTATCTGTCAACAGTTTGGGAGCAGCAGTTAGTCCTTTAAGCTCACTTCTCTGATGGAGCTTCTAGGAAGCGTTGATTTTTCAGTCTGTTCAGCTTTTTATTTGTTGTTAGATGGAGGTGGAGTGATGACTTCCAAGCTCCTCACCTGTAAACCTGGAAACTGGAATTCTCCCTTTATCCGTCTTTGCTTCCCCAAAGAACTTAACCCATTGCCTGTTTTATCTTCTAACATGCTCTTTCGTTTTTCTTCCTGGGTGCTCTTGCTGAGGTTGCCGCGAGTTCTTCGTTTCCTGGATATCTATACCTGAACTCATACTGTCTCTTCCTCTTTAAACCGAATCCTTTTTAGTAAGGCCCCTTCACTAAGCTGAATTTGCGGTGATAGCAAATTAGCTACTATTAAGGTACCATTCTATTTAGTCACATTTTTTTCCTTTGAAAGATCATTTTACATTGCCTTAGATGTGAAGAATTTAGTTAATGCCAATTTCCTGCTTAAATCCTTAGGATTTATTACAATGAATTGCACTGAAATTGCCTCATTACTTTGTTAGCTCCTTAAGGTCAAGAACCTTTCCTTGTATATTCTTTTCTTAGTGCTTGCCATGAAATGCTTGTTATTTGTGAGATGATCGACATCATGTATAGAGTTAGGTTGTAGAAATCCCTATTTGATAACCTAGGTGTATATTTTTTTTTATAAAAAAACATTAAAAAACATTTTTTTTAAGAGGGAGAGAGCTCAAGCAGGAGAGAGTGCTGAAGGGAGAGAGAGGAGAGAGAGAACCTTTAGCAGGCTGCATGGAGCCTGGTGCAGGACTAGACCCCACGACCCTAGTATCATGACCTGAGCCAAAATCAAGAGTCCAATGTTCATATGACTGAGCCAAACAGGCTTAAAATGTTTACATATCTTATTTCAAAATTTATATTTCAGAACATTAGACATAGGGATATCTGACATATTTAGACAGTATCCATTCCAGGTCTTACATGGAATTGTGATATCCTAGGGACTCATGATTATTATTATTTGATATTTTTCCCTCTCCTAAAAATGCTGTTTCATCACATTTGCAAGTATGCTCAGGTAGAGTAGAAGTGTTAGAATTTTGAAATTATAGTGATAGTATTTTAGATGATGGAAATATTCTAGGACTTAAGTCAGATTTTGTTAGAAGTCAAATTACTATATTATTAATATAGCCTAACTAATTTATTATGTTGCATTTGTTTTTTTTCAGACTGTTCTCTCTGTATAAGAAAATTTCTATCGTATAAAACACAATGTCCAACTTGTTGTGTGGTAAGTTTTCCTTTCCTGTTTTTTCTTGGAAACTTAATTGGTACAAATATTTCTGTGTGACATACACACAAAAGCCCAAGGGAAAAGGTGTAATTATTCAGTTAGGCTACATAAAAGACATTTTCAGAAAGGCCTCTAAAATACGTATATGGATGCTGGGAGAACTGGACAGCAACATGCAGAAGGATGAAACTAGACCACTTTCTTACACCATTCACAAAAAAAACTCAAAATGGATAAAGGACCTGAATGTGAGACAGGAAACCATCAAAACCCTAGAGGAGAAAGCAGGAAAAAACCTCCCTGACCTTAGCTTACAGCAGTTTCTTAACACATCCTCAAGGGCAAGGGAATTAAAAGCAAAAATGAACTATTGGGACCTCATGAAGATAAAATGCTTCTGCACAGCAAAGGAAACAACCAACAAAACTAAAAGACAACAATGGAATGGGAAAAAATATTTGCAAATGACATATCAGACAAAGGGCTAGTATCCAAAGTCTATAAAGAGCTCACCAAACTCCACACCCAAAAAACAAATAATCCAGTGAAGAAAGGGGCAGAAAACATGAATAGACACTTCTCTAAAGAAGACATCCAGATGGCCAACAGGCACATGAAAAGATGCTCAATGTTGCTCCTCATCAGGGAAATACAAATCAAAACCACACTCAGATATCACCTCATGCCAGTCAGAGTGGCTAAAACGAACAACTCAGGAGACTATAGATGCTGGCGAGGATGTGGAGAAACGGGAACCCTCTTGCACTGTTGGTGGGAATGCAAACTGGTGCAGCCACTCTGGAAAACAGTGTGGAGGTTCCTCAAAAAATTAAAAATAGACCTACCCTATGACCCAGCAGTAGCACTGCTAGGAATTTACCCAAGGGATACAGGAGTACTGATGCATAGGGGCACTTGTACCCCAATGTTTATAGCAGCACTCTCAACAATAGCCAAAGTATGGAAAGAGCCTAAATGTCCATCAACTGACGAAAGGATAAAGAAATTGTGGTTTATATACACAATGGAATACTATGTGGCAATGAGAAAGAATGAAATATGGCCTTTTGTAGCAATGTGGATGGAACTGGAGAGTGTTACATTAGGTGAAATAAGTCTTACAGAGAAAGACAGATACCATATGTTTTCACTCTTATGTGGATCCTAAGAAACTTAACAGAAGTCTATGGGGGAGGGGAAGGAAAAAAAAAAAAGGCTAGAGAGAGAGAAAGCCAAACTCTTAAAAACTGAGAACAAACTGAGGGTTGATGGGGGGTGGGAGGGAGGGGAGGGTGGGTGATGGGTATTGAGGAGGGCACCTTTTGGGATGAGCACTGGGTGTTGTAGGGAAACCAATTTGACATTAAATTTCATATTAAAAAAATACATATATGGAGAAATGGGCTTTGTTCAATTTTTCCTAAAGATTTCTGATAACCTAAATGTATTTTTGGAAGTCGAAACTGATTTTAAGATCAGGAGGTAGCACTCTTTAAATCTCGTGACCTATGTTTTTGTGGCTTCTCATGTTTTGTAATTTTTCACCTTGAGCTGAAGGTCTGATGGAAGGATTATTCATTTGTATAGGATTAGGGTTTAGTATTTGTGTGGAGGGAAAAGATTCATGACCATTGGGCTGAACCTGGCCTGACTGGTCCCTTACCTCTTTCCCAAACCAGACCTTCAGGGGAAACAATAGGAAATTTGTTGTTAGAGTTTGTGAAACCTTTCAGGTAGGTGCAAAGGTAGGTAAAAAGGTCAAGTAAACATAAATAGGAAGAAAGAAAGAAGAAGAGACAGTGAGGTCTAACAAGAAGGACTCTGGGCCTGATTGAAGGGTTTGGCTTCTACCTTGGCACCTCTGTTAGGTACATGGTGTTAGGAGGTCACTGAACTTCTCTCAGCTGTTTCCCTACGTAAAAAATGGTGCAGTTTGGCTCCCAAGTTTAATCTCTTTGCAACTTGCCATTGTCAAGATGGTATCATCAGGGAGATAAGCTGCATACCGTTCATGCTAAATAACTACAAGATCTGTAGTTTTCCTGTTGCATTCCTGAACACCAATCTTGTTTTTAAACCCTCTTTGAACACCTAATGCCGCTCCCCGTGTAGTCACTTAAAAAGAGCATCTCTGTTCTGCTTTTTAGGGGAAATTCTTGGGATGGCATTTTGAATAAGGATTCTTGCTCATATTAGGTTTTATCTTAGTACAGAGCATATACGATTTTACTAGAGGCTGTGGAGATCTTTTATCAGACTTCCAGTCAGCAGATGCTGATTCACTGTTTTAAAATTCCATATTAGTATGAGATAAATGAACTTTATTTTGAGGCTTTCCTGGAAGACTTAGTGGGATGGGGAGTCTCGGGAGGATAGGTCATGCATTTTCAAAACAAGATTATGACAAGTTATTTTATTGTTTGTGACCTTTTTCCATCTGCTGTTTTTCCTTTCTAGACAGTCACAGAGCCGGATCTAAAAAATAACCGCGTATTAGATGAACTGGTAAAAAGCTTGAATTTTGCACGGTATGATTTAATTTTGTGACTAACCCCTAACTGCTCTGGCCTTTGATATGAGTTCCCTCTTTACTTTGTGCACTTTTGGGGATTAGGGAATGCAGGGTTGCATATTTTGGAGTAAAAGAAGGGAAGCGACAACAGTCATTAATCACTCATGGACAGTCTAATGGTAATAATATTTTCTTCCTTTACTTAACAGAAAGTCTCCTGTCATGAAAAACAGAAGTTAAAAATGCAGATTTGAGTACTTACTTTTGGGTATTACCAAAGATACCCAAAAGTATTTTATTTTTCCTGTCCTACCCCTAGAATCATCCATTTTCCCAAGGAGCCCTGGTTCCTTTTATTGGAGAATGGTATTTAGAATCAGGATCTGGAGCTAGGTATGGTCACTGTTCCTGAGATGTCATTGTTTCTAAGCCCTCTCATTGGACAGAGCTGGGTAGCATATGCACGTATACATATGTGTGTACTAACCCATGTATACATGCGTATCTATAATCGTTTCTGTGTCTGTTATATATTAACCCATTAATTCTTAATCTGATTTATTCAGCATGTATGAGATGGTGTGCTGTGTGAAATAGGTAATTGTTGGTACTTTATACAGCTCAGAAATGTAGCTTTACTTCTTAGCTGTCAGATGTATGATGGTGAAAGTGAGTTTTGTCACCCCGAAGGATTATTCAAAGGCATATTTTACCAAACAGTATCTTGAAATTCAATTTTTAGTTTTGATCATGGAAGTCAATCAGAAATTTTCATTACGGACACACGACTTCTTAGCTGTTGGGACAGTTTTGATGGTACATTACATTCATTCTAAAAATGTAGAGAGATTTCTTCCAATAGAATTGCACATTTATTTCATTGAGTTGTGTCCTGAGAATTACAAGATTTAGTACTCTGAACTCGCCTAATATTACTTTCTAGAAATTGGCTTGGTTAGTCATTTCTGTAAAAAAGTCATAAAATGGTGATATTTCCTAGATTAAGAAACGCTGAGATTCTCTGATTCTCATAATTACAGTGTGGTGTTTTTCTTATTTTAAAGTCTTTCACCAGTTAGATTTTCAACGTTTATTTATTTTTGGGACAGAGAGAGACAGAGCATGAACGGGGGAGGGGCAGAGAGAGAGGGAGACACAGAATCGGAAACAGGCTCCAGGCTCTGAGCCATCAGCCCAGAGCCCGACGCGGGGCTCGAACTCCGGGACCGCGAGATCGTGACCTGGCTGAAGTCGGACGCTTAACCGACTGCGCCACCCAGGCGCCCCTCACCAGTTAGATTTTGAAGTCCATGAAAAAGGGTGGAGCCATGTCTTTAGAAAGGAATTTATTAGCTGTTTGATTTTCCCTGAGACAGTAAAATTATACCCCGAGGCTTATTTTTTTTTCCTAGCTGGTTCTGAAAGCATAATAATTTCACTGCTAGGAGAAAGGGAGTGTCACAAAGCAAGTATCTGTTTGTTGAAGGGAAGTGATCGGTGTCTTTGGGTTCATGGACCTTTGGTAACTGAAAGGGAGGCCTTGGGATAATTGAACTCTCCCCTTTCCCGCTTCCTCCCAAAAGGAATAGGCTTTTTAATTATTCATTATAGTGGGTGTGGTGAGAAGCATTCTTTGTGGATTTGGGATGGATTTTATCATTTGTTTCTCCCTGTTTGCCTTGAAATTACCTTATGATGAACATTTCTTGGACATTTGTCATATCTAATGTGCTGTGGTACTTCGTTTGCAAAAGTAGTAGAGATGAAATTCAAGCTAATCACTTCCAGTACTTGTTTGATATCTGGTTTGAGATTGATGAGGGAAGTCAGGCAACAACAGATGTTGGCGAGGATGTGGAGAAAGAAGATCTCTTTTGCATTGTTGGTGGCAATGCACTCTGGAAAACATTATGGAGGTTCCTCAAAAAACTAAAAATAGAACTACCCTATGACCCAGCAATTGCACTGCTAGGCATTTATCCACAGGATACAGGTGTGCTGTTTCGAGGGAACACATGCATCCCCATGTTTATAACAGCACTATCAACAATAGCCAAAGTATGGAAAGAGTACAAATATCCATCGATGGATGAATGGATAAAGAAGATGTGGTATATATATACAATGGAGTGTTACTCGTCAATCAAAAGAATGAAATCTTACCATTTGCAACTACGTGGATGGAACTGGAGGATATTATGCTAAGTGAAATTAGTCAGAGGAAGACAAAAATCATATGACTTCTCTCATATGAGGACTTTAAGAGACAAAACAGATGAACATGAGGGAAGGGAAATAAAAATAAGATAAAAACAGGGAGGGGGACAAAACAGAAGAGATTCAAATATGGAGAACAAACTGAGGGTTGCTGGAGGGGTTGTGAGAGGGGGGATGGGCTAAATGGGTAAGGGGCATTAAGGAATCTACTCCTGAAATCATTGTTGCACTATATGGTAACTAATTTGGATGTAAATTTTAAAAAATAAAAAATAAAATTAAAAAAAAAGATAGATGAGGGAAGAAGTTAATCTTCTAAGGTTTTTGTATTGTTTGTATATTTTTTTTCTTTCTCATTGGTCAGTGCCATTTTAAGACATAATGGTTTAAAATTTTTTAATGTTCTAAATTGAAATAAAAGAGTGTTGGAAATAGTTCCAGAGGTTTTCAGACAAAATACTGACATTCACAGCTTACATTTTCTTCTAACTCTAGCCATTTATTTTCAAAGAACATGAGTATTTTTCTTGACTCAGTTTTATTTAAAATAATGTGCTTAAAAATGTGTTGAACAAAATTTAATCAGAATATTTTTGTCTAAGTGGAGCATCATTCTTGACCTAAGTAAGAAAATACTGTTTCAGTATTTTTGTGTAGCAGCCAGTCTACATCTGTATCATTTTTACAAACTGAGAGTGGAAAGCATCATTTACTACTTGGGTTTATCCTATCCCCATCAAGGTACTTTTTCTCCAGGTACTTACTCCATGTTTAAGAATTCAGACATTTTAGATGATAATTGTAATAGATCATTCCTTAGCATCTTAGGAGAGTGTGTAGAATATAATTTTGATTTTTTTCTTACAGTATAGTTTAAAGCATACTGACTTTGGATTTAGGCAGAACTGGGTTCTCTAGCTGTGATCTGTGATCAAAATATTAAACCTCTTTGGCCTCTGTTCCACATCTGAAAAGTGGTAATAATATTATTGACACTTTTAGGGATTGTTGTAAGGGTTGGAAATGAAGAGTTCTACTAGAAGATACCCAGCATAATACCTGGAGCAAAGGAACCTAAAAAAAGATTTCTGTCATTATTATCATATATATTTTACGCATGTTTGTATCATCTTCCCTTATATTATATATTGATGCCCTAAGATGCTAATAAGAATTTGTTCTTTGGTGGGCCTCTGCCTGTTTCACCAAACGGTCCTAGACTGCTGTTACATGTTTTGGATCAGAACAGCATTTGTGGGGACTTTTGCTAGATAATGAAGTCCGTGGACTTGACCACATGGGTTTCAGGACTGCCCTGAGTTTCTCTTTGGTGTCTACCCAGAGACCTGTTTTGCTTCTTGATTCTTGGCCACATTCTGAAGAGGTAGAGTTCTTGTGTAGTTAACAAATGGGCAAGATTGTCCTGTACTTGATGGAGTCACAATTATTCTGAAAGTCCATACTTTACCCCCAAAAATCTGAGTATCTATGATAAGTGCTGTTAGGTATTATAATACCAACTGACTTTAAATTAAATTTATAGGAATGGTGGAAATGAAAGAGAAAATTACCAATTCAGTTTAAGTATCCTTTTTAGAATTAATATTTTCACATGGCCCCTATTAAGCTGTGTGAATTGTAGCAGTCTAGTGGTTTTAAATCCCATGTGTCCATTCATGGCTTCCAAATTTACATCTTCAAGTAGATCTCACCCCAAAACTTCAGGCTACCATATACCACTGCTTACCTCATATCTCTGCTTGAACCTCTTAAAAGCAACTCTCAACTCTCTGGGCTGCCTGCCATCCCCCACTCCAAATCTCCTGCCCCCACAGTCTTTCTTCCCTCATTAAATGGCAGCTCTGTCCTTTCATTTGCCCAGGCCCCAAACCCTGGAGTCCTCCTTGACCCTTCTCTTTCACACTTAACTCTGTCATTCCATCAGTTAATCCTCCTGGCCCTGTTATTAACATGTTTCCTGAATCTGACAGCTTTTCATCACCGTGCCAGCATTATCCTGGCAAGCCAGCGTCAGCCTGTATTACTTTGATCACTTCTAGTGGTCTCCTATTCCTGCTTTTGCCCTCTGATAGTCCTTCTGAGGCCAGCAACCAAAGTGTCACTTTAAAACAAAAAGTCACAGGGGCGTCTGGGTAGCTCAGTCGGTTAAGCATCTGACTTCATTCCAGGTCACGATCTCACAGTTCATGAGTTCAAGCCCCGCGTCAGACTCTGTGCTGATGCCTCAGAGCCTGGAGCCTGCTTCAGATTCTGTGTCTCCCTCTCTCTCTGCCCCTCCCCTGCTCGTGCTCACACTCTGTCTCTGTCAAAAATAAATAAATAAATAAAAATCAGGTCGTACTTAATATCGTCTGGAGGGGGTGTCCCATCTCATTTGGAAGAGCAGCCTGAGTCCTGTCAGTGGCAATCCTCTGGTCCCTACAGAACAGGGTCTCTTGCCGACTTCATGTCCCACTTCTCTTTCCCTTGTTTATTCTGCTCCAGGCGCACTGGCCTTCTTGCTATTTCTCCAATGTGTCAATCATACTCTGACCCTAGAGGCTTTGTACTTACTGTTATTTCTAGGGGAAACACTGTTTCCCCAGAGAGCCACATGGGTTAGTCCTTCAGTTTGTTCGGGCTCTGTGTTTTCATAGGGCACCTTCTCAGTGAGGCTTTCTGTGACCATCCTGTAAAGAGTGCCAATCTCTTCGCCTCCTCATGCACGGCTTCACTGGCTTTGTTTTTTTCCCATGGCACTTTCATATATGTTGTGTGCATTCTAGTATCTCTTCCCTT